AAAAAAAAAAAAAAAAAAAAAAAAAAAAACAGTTGTTTTCTTTAGATGCATACACGCGAGAAATTATCTGATTAAGTGTTTGCTGATCAAGTTGAGATAATAATACAGGTTCGGAAACTTCAAAGGGCCTGCTTAAGGAATCCTGTTAAGGTATGATTGTGATTATCAAAGATCTAGTTTTCAGTTCCTGAGTTTATTCCAATCTTAAATTTCTTGGTCTCGAATTCTTTCAGATTGAAGCGGCCAGCAAATATTCCACAGTAGACACACTGAAGCAAGAGTATTGTTTTATCCCTGCGAAATATAAGGTTTCCCCACTTACTTAAATATTGGTTTATTATTTTTGTTTGTCATAACTTCTGGTCACACAAATCTGGATATTTTGAGAAACTACTTTCGGCCATAGTTGAGGACTGACAAAAGGAGTCTAATCAGTTGATTGATTTATTTATTTTTGCATTTCAAGAGCTATCATGCATGAGTAATTTACCTACTTTTGATGGGAAGCACATTTGGTTTACTGCTGGATTTACTTTATTACACGTCACTTTGTACAGGAATGTTATCTTGTCTATATCTTAACTGAGATGTCTGGTTCTACATCAATGGTCTTCACTCGCACCTGTGATGCTACTCGCCTTCTATCATTGATTCTTCGAAATCTTGGATTAAGAGCCATCCCCATAAGTGGTCAGATGACCCAGGTATTGTTGTGATATAACTCAGTTGTTTACACCTCTTTTCTCTAGGTATGAAATATTTGAAAGTTGAAAAAAGACTTGGAAACCCATTTGTATGTTTCATTTATCAACTAGGCTTCTTATTAAAAAAAAAAAATTGGAGGTCGGGAAAACCTTTCTTTTTCATTGGCTTCATCATTTTGTGGAATTATTTCTATTAAACTCGGTGCACGGACCATGTCTTTGACAGGCAAAGAGACTAGGAGCCTTAAATAAGTTCAAGGCTGGAGAGTGCAACGTTCTTATCTGCACTGATGTCGCCAGCAGAGGACTTGATATTCCATCTGTGGATATGGTCATAAATTATGATATTCCTTCAAATTCCAAGGTTCTCCTTCTGCAATTCTATGTATTACTCTTCTGTTATCATTGTGTAGAATTTATCCTGTAGACTGAAACTTTTGACAAGATAGCTTCATAGATTCCCCAAACTAAAAATCGGGCTTGAGAATCGATGGAAATTGGCTAAGATAATTAAAAGATTAGGTGTTCATCTCTTCCAATGTTCTTCTAAGATGACTTTGTGTGCAGGATTACATACATAGAGTGGGAAGAACTGCTCGTGCAGGTCGTTCTGGGGTTGCCATTTCGTTAGTTAACCAGTATGAGTTAGAGTGGTACATACAGATAGAGAAGCTCATAGGTAACCAAAGAATCCCCTTTTTTTAGCCTCAGAACATCACAGATGTCTTTTTATTTATCTATAACCAACTTTTTTAATATGGCAGGGAAAAAACTACCACAGTTTTCGGCACAGGAAGAGGAAGTTTTGATGTTGTTCGATCGTGTGGCCGAGGCGAAGAGAATATCTATTATGGTATTTACTTACTAAATTATGGTCACGAGTCTTATGTCTTAACTACAATTATTACTCATTCTTTTCCTACTTGGTTAATGTGGTGGTTGAACATGTAAAGAAAATCAAAGAAAGTGGTGGCAAAAAGAGAAGGAGAGGTGGAGGAGATGACGATGACAACGACGACAATGACGTTGAAAAGTATCTACGTCTCAAGAGTGGAAAGAACGGGAAGATGTCGAAGAAGTTTAATAAAAAACGAGTCTAAATTATGTTTATTTATATTTTGATCAAATTTTGGTGTAGGCGTAGAGTGTAAGCTAAAGCAAATATGGTGTGTTCTAACTCGATTACAGATCATCAAGGAATGAAAAATTTTGACCGTTTCTTTTATTGAAATTACTTGTAATAGATAGTGTAAATTCATGTGATGTATTATCATACTTTTTTGTTTTGCTTCACTTGTTCAAATCATGTGATCTCCTTCCCCTTTCTATAAATTCAGTTCATCTTCTCCATTGTTGAAGCACACAGCAAAGCTCATTACAAATGGCTGCTCTTTTAGTCATCTTCCTCCTTGCAGCTTCCATATTCCGATCTTCCCATGCCGCCGGAATCGCCGTCTATTGGGGCCAAAACGGCAACGAGGGCCCTCTTGCCTCCACTTGTGCCACCGGAAACTACCAATTCGTCAACATCGCATTTCTCTCCTCCTTCGGCAGCGGCCGAGCTCCGGTACTCAACCTTGCTGGCCACTGCAACCCCAACAACGGCGGCTGCACCTTCTTAAGCAGCCAAATCAAAGCCTGCCAACGTCGCGGCATCAAAGTCCTCCTCTCCATCGGCGGCGGAGCCGGAAGCTACTCGCTCTCCTCCGCCGACGATGCAAGCCAAGTCGCAAATTTCATCTGGAACAACTTCCTCGGTGGCCGGTCGAGATCAAGGCCACTCGGCGATGCCGTTTTAGACGGCGTCGATTTCGATATAGAAACTGGCTCTGGGAAATTCTGGGACGTACTTGCTCGACGACTTAAGGGGTTCAGCCGAGTCCTTCTCGCCGCCGCGCCGCAATGTCCGATCCCCGACGCTCACTTGGACGCAGCCATTAAAACCGGTCTGTTTAATTTCGTTTGGGTTCAATTCTACAATAACCCGTCATGCATGTTTGCAAATGGCAACGCTAATAATCTCCTGAATTCTTGGAACCGGTGGAAGACGTTTCCGGTTGGGAAGCTGTTCATGGGGCTTCCGGCGGCACCTTCGGCGGCGCCGAGCGGTGGTTTTATTCCGGCGAACGTGCTTATTTCTCGAGTTCTTCCGAGGATTAAAACTTCTCCCAAGTACGGAGGAGTTATGCTGTGGAGCAAAGCATTTGATAAAGGCTACAGTAACGCAATCAAAGGCAAACTTTGAATAATTACTTAATTTTAAGTAAAAAGCCATAAATAAGTAAAATAATAAATGAAAAATGGGATTTCTTTCCCCTTTTTTTTAATTATTATAGTACAATAATTGTCGCGTATAATATGGATTAAACTACGCAAGATAAATATAAGCTAAATACTTAATTTCAATTTAATATTTTAAACCTTCTAATTAAAAATGTCCACGTGGCACAGACAAAGACAGAACTGCTATTTCAATCTTCATTTTAAAAAAGTTTATTTATTTTTAATTAAAATTGGTAAGGATTGAGTTCATATATATATATATATATATATATTCTTTTTAATATAATTTCTATTATAAAATATATACAACATAATTTGGTTTTACATCATCAATTTTGATAAGAACTTGGTAATCCACTCTATCTAGTGTATTATATTTCTATTGATATATCTCACCGTTGAAAATGTAAACAAAAAAAATTGTTATTTTAATTCTCTTCGGACTATTTTGATTTATAATTTTTAAATGGGAGGTTTAGGTTAACGTAGTGAAAGGGTTGTTGCATTCCGAATATCATAAGTTAACTCTAAATTGTGTCACAATCGCACTTTTAATGGCAGCGGACTTGCGATTGTGCGGCATTCACTTTCCAACGACAAGTGAGCTAAGCCAATTCGTTCTTGCGTCGCCTACGGCCAAGCGACGTATGCTCGAGCCTCTAGCCTCGGTTTTAAGAGAAGGTTTTAGAAAACGAGGGTAGAAAGAGATTTTCGAAAGAGATTATATAAGCAAGCAAGAGAGAAATAGAAATGGCTTGCAGTATATAATCTTAGGTAAGGAGAAGTTGACAACTAGTCGTATCCACCTATAGTACATTCTGAGGTATTGTATGTCTTTTCATCTCCCAGTGTTTTACTTGTATATTTCTATTAAGTAACTCAGAACCTAACAGCTCCAACAATATATTATTTATAATAATATAGAAAATTAAGATGAATATCTAATAATATTGTTAAAATCATTTAGATAATCAAAATTTATATAAAATTTACGTGAATGATACGACAAATGATGTCTTTTAATTAATTTTTAAACATTTTATCATAAACTAATTTTAAGCAAACCAAGAAAATTAGAACTGAAAAAATGTTAAAACAAAATTAGCAAAATTACAACCTTTTAAACAAAAAAAAAAAGACTAAAAGTTAAAACATTAAAAAAAAAATGAAATAAGAAAATTTGAATTTTCAAATACGTGTAAAAAAAGTTATAATAAATGTATAATAAATTTCTTACTTTTTTTTTAATCTATAAATTTACTATGCATTTCATTTTTTTTTAATTGGTCCAAACAATTTAAAATTGATTAATTTTGTTATTTTTATGTATAGTAAGCTCGTAATTTTAAAAAAAATAATTGAATAATAAATCAAAAATTTATTAAAAACAATTTTAAAATTTTAAAAATCATATTCTATTGAATAATAAAAAAATATTAAATATAAAGAATAAGATTAAGCCATCTAATGATTGTAATTAAACAGAAAATTAATAAAAAGAACAATTAGCGGAGGAACGTGTCAAATAATTTACATTTAATATTAGTAGAAAATGCAGAGGAGAATAAGTCAAAATTATAAGTAAATTTTGTATTAATTTCCAATTCCAACGAGTCACGGCAGGGCAATTTGGTCATAATAATTTTGTTTGCTTACGTCACCACATTCCAGTCTTCTCAGTTGACCCAAAGACTTTGACTATTTTTAATTTCTTTTCTTTCTTTTTTGAGTTTAATCCATAAATAATAATAAAAAAATATATATATAGAATGATGTAAATAATAATAATTTTTATTTTTCCTCTTCAATTAAAACACGGCAATTCATTTAATAATTACTATAAATTCAGTCCATTTTCTCCATTGTTGAAGCACTCAAAAAGCTCATTACAAATGGCTGCTCTATTAGTTATGTTCCTCCTCGCCGCTTCCATTTTCCGATCATCCCACGCCGCCGGAATCGCTATTTATTGGGGCCAAAACGGCAACGAAGGCTCTCTTGCTTCCACTTGCGCCACCGGAAACTACCAATTTGTCAACGTGGCATTTCTCTCCTCCTTTGGCAACGGCCAATCTCCGGTACTCAACCTCGCCGGCCACTGCAACCCCGACAACAACGGCTGCGCTTTCTTAAGCAGCGAAATTAACGCCTGCCAAAGTCAAGGCGTCAAAGTCCTCCTCTCAATCGGCGGCGGAGCTGGAAGCTACTCGCTCTCCTCCGCCGATGACGCGGCACAAGTAGCGAATTTCATCTGGAATAATTACCTCGGCGGTCAGTCGAGCTCCAGGCCGCTAGGCAACGCCGTTTTAGACGGAGTCGATTTCGATATCGAAGCCGGGTCGGGTCAATTCTGGGACGAATTGGCCCGGAAACTGAAGGGTTTGGGTCAAGTCATTATCTCCGCCGCGCCGCAATGTCCGATCCCCGACGCGCACTTGGACACTGCAATTAAAACCGGGCTGTTTGATTTCGTCTGGGTTCAATTCTACAACAACCCGCCGTGCATGTTTACTGATGGAAACACTAACAATCTCCTCAATTCTTGGAACCAGTGGTCCACGTTTCCGGCCGGGAAGCTCTTCATGGGGCTCCCGGCGGCGCCTGAGGCTGCGCCGAGCGGCGGATTTATTCCATCGGATGTCCTTATTTCTCAAATTCTTCCGACCATCAAATCAACTTCCAACTATGGAGGAGTTATGTTGTGGAGCAAGTTTTTTGACAATGGCTACAGCGACGCCATTAAAGGCAGCATCTAAGCTAAATTACTTAATTACCCATGAATAAGCAAAACAAGAAATGGGCATTCTTGTCCTTTTTATATATATATATTTAAATTTGTGTGATGTAATAAAATAAGTCTTTATTAAAGAGTATATTACTATAATGAATATTAGTATAATGTTTATGAGGAATATTTAAGTAAATAATATCATAGTATGGCGATTGATCGTCTTCCTTGCTTGTCAGAATTTTTTGAATTTTATACCTCTACATCACTTACGATATTACAAACTACAGCTTCGTCGGGAGCTATAGTTGGAGTTGCAAACTGCACTACTAACTATATATTATAATTTTAATATATATTATTTATTTTAATACACGATATATTATATACATCTTTAAATTAAATCTATATTTTTCTTTACAATTAATATATTAAATATTAACGTGAGTCCTTCTATCTTTTTTAACTAAATAAATCTTTAGGGTTACCGTGAAGATTTTGAATACAAAATGAGGTGTGTCCATAGATATAATCATTATAAATAACTCAGTCATTTATTAGTTGTTAGTAGCTGTGGTTAGGTCAAAAATTTGATTTATTTCTCTAATTATATCTTATTCTTTAAGCGCTATTAAGCATCTAATGAACTTTTTGTTTATGATCTAATTATATCTTCCACGCCAATGAGAGAGTGAGATCCCATTGTTCAAGTCTCAAAATCAGTACTTAAAGAAATTACTCGTACTTGTCATGTATGGAAAAAAAATTATCTTGTAAAATTATATTTTTTTTGTTAAGTCCCAAAATGGTGGACATATTAAATCGACTTAAAAAATCGTACTCACCAAATTCAAATGACGCAACAAAAGTTAATAACTCACTCGAGACTAAGACATAGTCCATATAATCCTTCTGTACCATATTAATCTTTCAATTAACAAATTTATAAATAAAAATTAAATATTTTGTTGTTTAATCTTATTACAAGCTCGTTGTCTTCACATGAACAATTTAAATTATTTGTAATCGTTTTAAAAATAATGTTCTATCAATTAATTATTAGGTGAACATGATTTTCTTAATGTCAATTAACACGAAGTATTTGAATTTTTATAAAATGGAGAAGAATATTTATAATTAAAATTATTATTAATTATTAAAAATTCAAGAAAGTCATATATTCTAACGTAACCCACACTTTTTTCCTCTCCAATTAATCGTGTCACCTAAAATAATTAATTTTACAGCTGGTAATATTTTCCAAATGCCACGTCCCACGCGTAAAAGACATTCATATTTTCCCTTCCTATAAACTCAGTTCATCTTCTCCATTGTTGAAGCATACAACAAAGCTCATTACAAATGAAATAATTAATATACTCTATAGTTTTTATTAATATGCCAAACATTAAATATATCGTACAATTGAAATAAATAAATTAAATTAAAATATTTTTACTATATTTGCAAATATCTTAATATTTTTACCACTCTTTACAATTTCCGGATTTTTTTAAGGTTAAATGAAATAAATTCTTAAATTTTACTTGTATTTAATAGGTCTTTAGAGTTTAATTTATTTTTATTTCTTAATTTTATATATATTTTAAATTTTAAAAAATTAATGAATTTCTATTTTTATGACGTATATTTTTCCACCAATAGTACTACGAACTTTTTATTTATTTTATACCTTAACTCTTGAATTGAGATTTGTGGTATGAAAAAGGACGACATCCCACAACCCTATCATAACTTAAATTTAATTTTTTTTTTTTAAATGGAGAAGGCTCTAGTCCAAAACGGCGCGGTCTTCTCCCACCGTACCTTGTTCCTTTCCCTTGACAAGCTCGTTGCCTCCACCACCCCACCACAACATAACATCCACGCCTCATAATCCCACCTCGTGCATTTTCCGCGACAATCTTGCTGTGGAGATGCTCAACCTTTGCAGCCGCCTGTACATGAGTTTAAAAAATAGACAAACATATATCAACATCTTATAAATCATATTTTAATTTTTTAAAAAGATTTAAAACATTAAAAATTTGCATCCATATTAATGAACTTTTTAAAGATTCATAGTTAAAAAATATTATTTTAAAAACACTGAAAATTTTAATGATTTTTATTCAAAAACTATAAGGATATTTTTTAGATTTTTTTAAATTAAAAGAATATTTTCAAGACTTTTTTTTAATTAAAAGAATGTTTTTAAGATAGAGTGGGGAATAGTCTTTGCTTAAATAAATATTAATGTGATATGCTGTACAAATAAAATAATTTAAATAATCTTTAAGTTTCTTTAAGGCT